ATGTCCAGCGAACTGAATATTCGAAATCGGATCAAAAACGATTCGAATTGTTTTCGGCCAATATTATCTACATAAAGCGGAAATATCCTCACGACCCGATATTTCTCTAGCCTTCATATTGCGATGAAATGTCTCTCCTAATGCCGAGGGTATATATCATCATGCGTGGTCATGACTGACAAGTTATTATTGGCAGTATATGTTTAGAGAGAGTACATAAGGGAAAAAGAGCAATTTAGTATCCATAGAAAACGATAGTTCCATCAATGCAAATCAATTTAAACATTTCAAGTCAGTAATCGGGAAGCACACATTGTGGAGGTTTTATGATGGCAATACTTAGTAATAACCATCTATTAACAAGACAAATAACTGCACTCTTGCATTCTGATGGCTGGTACAGTAACAATAGGTTCATCTGGGGATATTATCATCATCAAACTAGCTACATTTTTGAAATTTTTGGGCAACAGTTTTATTTATATTAATGTTTATTAAAAAATTGCACAAATTTAGACTAGTGATAACAGGGTTAAAAGAGTATATACAGGCCACACATGCCCTATTGAAACTGAATATATAAGAATTGAGTAAATAGGGAGGCATGTGATTTCCATACTCCATTGATAACTCTGGAAACATAGTTATACAAAATATCATCAGTATCATTTTAAATGTAACAGCATAATACGTTATTACAATATCGAAATAGGATTTTTGGAGGATATTCGTTTCGACAAATTATACGATTCGAATCAAACAATTATTCGATTTTGGACAGCCTCATGGAGTAAAAATAAATAAATAAAAATAAATTAAAAATCTAATGAAACATTTGATATTGCAAATATCAATCCTAGACAGAGTATGGCTAGGTCATTTTAGAGAAAATTGGACATTCAAGAAGATTTCAATCTTGTTATTTTCAACATGTAAATATAATAATGTAGCTATGCAAGCAATGCAATAATCGAATGATGTATAAAATCTGATTGAATAATTTTGGAGTAAACTTTTCGAATAAATCTCATTTATAGAAATGCAATTTTAAAGAGAAACAATATAACAGTCAATAAACATTTAAGATAATTTTACAAAAGATTGTAAACATATAAGTCTATTGGAAAACAAAAATAATTACGGTAAAGTAAGCATCGTATTTAAGTCTTGGCATAGTAAATAATATATTAAAGTCGGTACTACACAATGCAGGGCATACAGATGCTGAAGTCATCAATAGTTTAAGGTATTGACTATTGATCCAAGGTTACGATCAATCATAGGGATGTTAGAACTGCTCCTGTTACTATTGGCTCAGTCCTACAAAAAGTTTTGAAATACGCAGTGTCAATAGCAGCATATGCAGACACATTACCAATCAAATAGATTCATGGATGATGATCGAATAAAACAGCATTTCAGAATATGAAATATTAAAAGCATGGTGTTTGGGGTTGCACACAGTGTAATTGTAATTATAATATGAATATATATGAACAAAATGCATTGATTCATAGATTAAATTTAAGGTTAGGACATAGTGATATCATGACAAATGCACACTATAGGAAATAGTACACAAAGCATATGATTTCAGTTGACCACGTTGCAGAATCATCTTATTTTTGGCAGAAGTAAAGTGAATACGGTAAAGATATGGATATATACATGCATAGCTCAGATATAATTCTACTAATGGTTTGTAAAGATTGGGAGAAGCAGACCAAACACAAGAACAATAGTAAATATATTTGTTCCTGGATCTTGAAATAATGTATAGTGAAAAATAAGTTGATCTAGGTGTTATACTGTACACGGTGCAAAAAGTAGGGTCATGAATAAATACTTTAACCTTGGTCAAAAAATGTGAATGCACAAAATGGGGGTGAAATTGTTATTATTGAAAATGACTTTCAGGAAACTTAATTATAGAATATGCAATGTTAACACAAACAGTATAAGCAGATACATAGTATTCCTAATCACATAAATTCAGGATTGCACACAGTATACAATTATGATGAACACTGTATGGCCATTTTAACAAATGCAAGCTATAGGTAATTATCAGTTGTAGGTAATACTACATCATGTTTTGCCAATAGTTAAAGAAAATAAAATGAAAAAAAAAACAAATATTAAATACCAGTAAAGTTCTGATTTACGTTAGAATTTACACAATGCATACTGGGGCACGTATGGCGTGTTTGCCTTATCCCAAAATACCCGACATGCTTTGGTAGACTTTATTTCGCTAGCTCACAGTCTGATTCTTGCTCGCAAATATTTCATTGTTCACTTTTAATGTTAAATGAATTAAATCTTTAACATTATGCACTTTATCTATATTTAATTAGATTCAAACCTGGTTTTAAAGCTGTTCATATGCTCTGCAATTCTAAGCGTATTCTGTGAGTGCCGACCAGCGGTGACGAATTTTCACTTTTTTTTAAAAGTGATTTTAATATAACCCCTCCCCTCAAAATGAGAACTATTCGATAGCGCGAATTTTTTTTTACCTAGTTGATATGGTCAATTTTGAATAATCTATGTTTAGCATTTTTTTTTCAAATGAAAATGTATTATTTAAAAGCAAATGAATATCTGTTTTCATATTCCGTATACCGGTATTTGAAAATCTCGTAATTCTCTACTTTGTAATTTTGTTTTTGTATTATTCGAACGAATCCGTTTTTCAGGCTCTTTACAGATTTTGACACGACCTATTCGTTTATATTCTCATTGGCCATAATTAGGTTTGTTTCTTTTTTTTATTAATAATTTTGTTTCCTGAGTGTATATGCGTTTTATTGTGTGATTGATATTTTATTCTTGTATGATGACTTCCATGTCCATCCATCTGCCGTTGGAATTTAGAAAATAGGGTTTGTCTCGATGGTCCTGTTTGGTGCTTTGTGTTAAGAATACCTAAATAATATTTTTAATTTATATGAGAGCTTACGGTATACATATTTTAATTAAGGCTTTCTACAGATCTCTTGTGGATGTTATCACCTCCTGTGACCGAGAGCAAAAATAGTTGGTTTGTTAGGCTACCCACAATTCCATTTTGGCCCTCTGTCGACATTGGAGGAAATTCTGTCATTGCCTTTTATTTGTTTTGTGACAACTGTGAGATACTAGTACCGATAATTCGTTGGTTTTTTTTCGTTGTGACTTCGGATTAAGTCTGTGAGTACTAGCACCGTGAGTTTTGCCGATGACTGGTCATGTTGTTTTTTCTTCAAAAAAAGGAAACAAGGCAAAATTCAAGAAAACCGGTACCGGTATTGGAAACTGTATACCGGTACGGTACTGTACGGTACTCGGAACAGTGGTCTGTACTAGCCTAGTCAGCTACGGAGCTATGACTGAATGGTGCATATATATACACTTTCTTGCCACATTATTTCGTTTTGGTTTTTCACTTTCTTATTTCTTAGTGAGTGGAGAGTTTTTATGGTAGAATTTGCATAAAATTATTTGTAAAAGTTTCCCTGAATCAAAAAAATTGATAAATATAACAATGATCTGGGTCAAATTGGGATAATAGTCTACCTGGTAGCTTTTTAGTCATAGTAAAAAAGAAAACTTAATAAATACCATATTATTACCTAACTTAAGCACAATTCTTTTTCAATATATGACTATTTTGATAATGTCAAAAAATTCATCATTGGATTGCGGTATCATTTTTCACACAAGCAATTTATTTGGACGATGTAAACAATGGCCAAAATATAAATGAACTTGCGATATGATTGTATTGGCATTTTACAGGTACAAGTGAAGATATAGACCGGTCTTACTACTTACTGAATACAGCGCGAAACAGCAAAGAGCGCGAAACACCGCAAAACAGTGGGGAAACAGCGCAAAACAGGGAAACAGTGTGAAGCAGAAAAAAATTTTGCAATGAGTTCGGGGCACCTTGTTTTGAGTTGGAGTACCACGGCAGCGAATTAAAAACACAAACCAACCTATGTAGCCAGTAATGCTGTAATGGCAGGTCTGCCCCTGCTGGTGACACATTTTGGGTACCATAATTTAGAACATTTTCCATATGGATATGGTTGGCTTTAGGGTTAGGTAAAAAGGGACCTCCAGAAGTATGTGCACCAAGATGGCGCACAACCTGAAAATAGTATGCGTGTGTGTGTACAGCGGATTCAGGTTGTGCGACATATTGCTGCACATACTTCTGGAGCACCAAAAAGGTAGATAAAATTTCGCATGATGACCTATAATCCGGTACATACCGTAACCTTGTAAATATACCGGAAATAGCGCTATAAAACCATGGCGAGAGGCGCCGTGGTTCTTTCGTGGCAGGAGGTGGTAATGACTGCGTCTCCTGTTTAGCGCTGTTTCCCTCTGTTTTGCGCTGGTTTCCTTCTGTTTCGCGCTTTTTCCCTCTGTTTCGCGCTGTATTCAGTAAGTAGTAAGACCCGATATAGACTATCTTGAATGAAGATTCAGAATTATTGAACTTAATTTTTGTATACGATTTTTACTTTATTATACTGTATCTAATTTTGTAGAATTTCACCCATCCTAAAATACCGGTAGATCTATTCAATAGCAATCCATAAGTATAACCCATAAGTTCCAAGTTGATGCATTGTTTCCAACGCTCTTGTATACTTTAACCCTCCAAATTGATCACTTAGACCTTGAATGTTATACATCAGCTTACTCATAGATCAGTAGATACTTGTATATGCTAAATGTCATTCTGGTCATAATACAATTGGTACACAAAATTTTGTTTAGATTGACCTCTAACTGCTCTGTTTATAATATTGTCTTGTTTCCTATGCAGCCTCAAAAACATTTGTTTTTATATCTCTCACAATAGGATAGTTTGTGATGTTTAATTCAAACAGATGATTGGCAAGTCAGGGCTTTCAGATTATAATTTCCCCATTTTGTATCCATCAATTTCAAACTATTCTGTACCAGATAAATCTAAATGATGCAGTATTTTTTATTTTCAACAGATTATATATAATTGTCCTAATTTTACATTGTGATCACTGAAGAAACATAACAAAAATGTCATCAAAGTTGAAGTTTGCTGTAGTATGTTCAAGTAATATGAACAGAAGTATGGAAGCACACAGATTTATGAAGTATGAATTCCTGGTTATAGTCTTTGAACCAACTTCTAAATATTGTTCTATCTACATTTTCGAACTAGCAGCGTATTATTATATACATTTTATATTGTCATGTCCACTGTTAGTCGATCACAGCAGCACCAATATACAGGGTGATCACTAACCATAAAATGTGTCAACAGCTTTTATTTTTGCAAAGAATAACTTTTACCAAGTTTTTTAAAGACCTACCGTATGTTATATTCCACCCATGGATGCTCAAAATGTTGCCCGTGCACTCCAGAAAAGTGTCTTAAGTTAAGACTCTTAACCTAGAAATCCGAGCTCAGGCAGCTTTTTGAAGGTTACCTTGTGGGATATCATTCCAATTCAACCCACACCTATACTTTTCTTCGTGATGTCATCTGACCTTCAAATTGTCTGCTTTTCTAGCGACCAACTTTAGATTATCCTTCAAGCAATTCTGTAACCCAGAAACTAAACGTTGGTTGAATCAATCAAACAGAACTTACAAATTGAAGAAAATTTATTTATTACTTGAACTCATAAATCTAGATGTGACGCTAGTACACCACACAAAGCATCTCAGTGATGCGAATATTTATATTTATTGATTTGAAGAAACCAAGGAACTATATTATCTTGTTAACAGAAAAAAGGGATTCAATGTGCAGTCGTTCGGCACTGGTAACCAAGTGAAACTTCCAGGACCTTCAGCAGACAAACCTAACGTCTACCCATTTGACACAAGATATGACGATATCTATAAAGAATTAGCAAACAAAGATTTCAACCTGTATCCTTTTATTTAAAATATTATCAACTCTGCACATTATGGCTGTAACAATCGGAGAATCCAGAGTTTTTATCAGATATATCAGGAAGGATTGTGTATAACAAAAATGCTCGTAGAAGTACACAATAACATAATGTTAAATTTCTTCCTTATTTTTGAAGATTTTTTAATTATGTTATTGGAGTATTTTATTTTCACTTTTTACGTGTTTATTTATGAATGTTGAGTGTTTTTGTTTTGCCGTTTTAAAAAAAATATATGCTACAATTGTTTATCAATAATTGTTACAAATTTTATCATTTCAATTCAGATGTGTTCTTTGTAATCTTGGCGAATATCAGATAGAGAATATCTTGCACGAGAACTACTACTAGAAGCGGCTACCGTCAACGTGACATTGATATGTGATGGAAGCCCTTGGCGAATTGAATTAGAACTTTCTGCTTATATAGAATTATATAGTTTTGTATAGGTAAGTATCTGTTATTTGTACAAAGACATTTCATGATTTTGCTCTTGTAATCAAATTTAAAATTTAGAAATTCATATTAGTCTTTTATATCATATACCGGTATATCTTTTTGGTATATATATACGTTTGAACATCGCTATTCCATGTTTTGTTGTTCATACACTCGCTACATCCTGATGTATGTTGAAATCTATTGTTATGCAATGGCTGGTGCGTTCATTTAGTATTTTTTGGCATTGAATTTGATTCTGGTCTCGTTCTAATCATATTGTGGAGAGCCCAATATTGTCGAAGTGGATATATTTTTGGTCATGGATAACTAACACCTTATTATTTTATCAAGATAAATCTTTGGGTAACCTGAAAAACGCGACCCATAAGTGTTTCAAATTTACGAAAAAATATTTATTTCCTCAACACTTGAATTTATGTTTGTATATGAATAAACCCAAAATTTTCAGTAATCTGTGACGCTTGGTACAAAAGTTATGTTCTTGTTAGAACATGTTCCCAATGACCTATTTTTTGTCATGGAGGATATTAATTTATAGGATAAGTCTTCTCTTGTCTAGAACAGTGTTTCCCAACCTTTTTTTCAGTCCACTCAAATTTGAAGAAATAAATAAATTTGGTGAAATCTTGCTACTCAAGGATATTCTCACATACTAAACGACATGTATTGTATTCATGGCCGCAAAATTAGTGCCAAATATAAGAAAATCATTTGACATTTATTGCCCAGAAACTACAGAAAAGTGAGAAAATTGCTTGTTTGCAATTGGCAGGTTTTTGAAAACATGGCACTTAAACAAAATAGATGTTGCCAAGTTTTCATGCTGTGTTACCTAAAATCCACTGGAAAATAAAATCAACAACTGACTACTGACTGTTGAAAAAACAAGGCGCCCCAGTTTTAGGTCACACCCATGTGCCGGGGAAACACTAATTTAGACTAAATAGGTTCCAAATTTCCTGGGTTCTGTTTTATTAGGGTGATATTGTACGAGAACTTGTTTTGGTCTGCAGCTCACTGCTTTACATGTCATTGTTATCTGCATCCTTTTTTTCAGATCAAAAACCTGACAAAGAATTTGTACTCGATGGAAACATACTGCAGCATTGTTTGTCATCTAGCTATTCAACAAAATTGTGGTTTCTAGATTAGCCTGACTAGATTTCTTAGACCAGTTGTAGGCCTTGTTGAAATTATTGTAGCATTGACAGCTGAAGGTTCGGCCAACCAACTCTGACCAACGAAATCGCTTTTTTATGATTGAGGCAGAGTTATTTGTATTGAGGAATAGCCGAATAGGTCGTACTGCAAGCATCGCTTTCTCGGAATCATACTTCGTAAATAAAATGTTATTTTTGACTAGGATATGTGGTAAGACCGTGGTTTCCAGTCATTCAAAGCACATTATCCATCTTTTGATTTCCCAAAACCAAAACCTTGATCGTAGTCCTAACGTCTGATTAAAACTAAATTAAAAATTAACCTTTAGTTTAATCCGCATGGGAAACAAGCGAAAATTGACCAAATATATGACCATGATTATTTTATATGGCTAAATAATCAGAATTTTAATCACATAGTCAATACGATTAAAGTGTATTTGTATCTTGCGTCGTCTTTGGGGACGTTCATAATCATGTTCAAGAACGTGCAACTTAATATTCAAGTTTATCTGGAAATCTGCTGATCTATTCCTTAATGATTAGTCGAAGATTGGAACCCTTTGTCGTAGGAGAGATTAAATAGCAAGTATATGATCATTTTTACAAGTTTCAAAGACCGCTCAATATATGAAAGTAAAAAATGTAATACAAAGCTGTAACTTCAATACATTTTAAGTCTCGTAACATGCATGCGCACAATTATTTCATTTCATATGTCACTCATTCGAATACGTATTATTTGGGCCGAAGGTAGTTTTGTATGGGATCGGTTTTTCTGTGCCTTCATGCCACCCATGAGAGATTGATAAGTTTGCGCCCGTTGATGGATACATCATGCTGAAGATACCAGGCTAATACTTTATATGTAGGATATCGTTTAGCTTTTTCGTTGGTCGGAGTTTGGTTACACGTCAGAGTGATTGAAGATTGTTGCAGATTTCAACTCGATCATACGTTTTGTAAAGAATTCCTGATACACCCTTTACTGTTTTGGACCCTCCATGTACAAGAATAGGATTATCAGGTTTGCGAATTATGAATAATTATTTGTTGTGCCTTTTTGGTGTATCCAGCCCATTCTTACGGGAACAAATAACTGGCTAACTAATCTCTGCTTTCCTATTCCCCGGGATAAATATGAAAATCCCATTGATTGGTCGGGCTAGTTATCATCGCGCCTGAATACATCCGACGGTAATGCATGGACTGTATTTTAAAATGTTCTCTGGCGATGATTTCCACGTCATTCTAATAATTGAGTACATTCGACTGCATAACGAGTGATTACGTATAATACAAATTTAATCTGTGATTTGGGTTGTAATTTTTTGTCCTGAGAAGTGCAACTAGGTTCGTGCATTGTGGTTGCGTAACTTGCGAGGACTGGTGGAATATCGTTATATTTGACAACTTGTTGCTCTGATTAAGTCGAGCCCAGCGCAGCAGTGTAATTCCGATTCTTAGGTCGCTGCTATCGCAAGCGACAAAGTGCTCTCTCATAGGCATGTATGTGGCACAGAATTGCATTGAAGTGTCATTCAAATAATGTATCGACGAGCGACAAATAATTAATTGGCTGGTTGTATCCCACTTTTTCTCTAAGGTTTGAAAATGGTTTCCAAGAGTGTGGGGTTTCCGACCAAAACCGCTTTGATTTACCCTATTCTGGTTAATGCAGCGTGGTGCTCATTTTCTGCGGCTTATCAAACTCCTCGCCGTTTAATGAAATCGTGTATTGTGCCAATCAGACATATTAAATAGACAAATTGCTTCTAAAATTGAGCAATGACAGTTAGGCGCAAGTTTTATCAGCTAATTGCGGAATCAGAATGGTTTGATGAATGGGATTGGTTATCATTGCCTTTAGTTCCGACTTCTAACTGAGAGTATTAGAATACGATTCCCATCGAACCGCTGTTCATCCTGCATGATTTCGCTGTTTGGTATTCTGCGTGGGAATAATATGTGCGAGAGTATTGCTGGGCTCTTAGCTGTTGGACAAAAAACTGTTTTACCATTTCCGAAACTGGCCTATCAAGTGTAGGCCTCGTTGTCTTTCATCTCCCGGCATATATATATATGTAAAATCCTTAATCGACCCAATTATTTGATTAGACAATTTTTTTGCACCAACACACACACACTAACAGAATATCGCTTTAGCATCTTCGCAATATATGCATACGGATCCACGCAAAAGCATAGAGCAAGGAAAAATTGATCTCTTGTGACCTTAACATATAGTGTCCCACTTCGTATTTTAACTCCTAAATTTTGTATTCACAGGATGGTCAAGACAACTTGAAGTCAGCGTGCGGAATTTGTTTTTGTAAATAAACTGGTATTGTGTTTTAGGTATGTTGAAATAGAAAACGTCATATTTCAATGCAAGTTCCCTGCGTGGAGGTATTTGTATTTTATGTATTTCGGGTGTTTAATGATGGGAGTGGAGTGGAGAACTCTACCCAAACAATTGTTAGGGCTGAGCGGATGGCTCTTGCTACGCCCGGCAATGGACTTGAGACTGTGTCGCTATTTAGGTTTTGTATTGTGTCGGCTTTTCGATCAGTAAATGTGAAGAAAAATCCAGCAAAAAGTTTAACGTAAATTCTTGACGCACTACTGATGCGCCATCTAGCGGATGTTGAAATGTGATAGACGTGGGCGCTCGTTGTACTAGAGAGTCGTATCCGCAGAAGTATGGGTGATAGACCACTGTGACATTGAAAATCTTTGACTTTCGGCATCTGGTTTTGATACCATATTAGATGTGTTGAGCGCGTTTTGATAGGAATTGATGTTACACGCTTTGACCACATTTCTGCCGTCACTATTTACTGGTATAAATATGAATTCACCCAGCCTGCTACGTGTTCCGCTTCAAAAATCGTGTTACACTAATCCATTCAATATTTTTTCACTGTAACGCAATCTGAAGCTGCGATTCATTTCTATTACAGTTTGGTGATGGAGGTTTTCAAAATTGTGGATACAATTTATTGGTTATTGTCTACCGAGGGGCGCTCGTGAGTGGTGACCAGAAACCCGCATTATCGCTTTGCTTTTTCTGGTATCGTGAAATTTTTTTACAGCCTTAGCTTGTAAATTTAGGCTACTACTAAACATACTCGCTGATAACTGTATGTTTCAACTTTGTTGTTTGTCTGGTAATATTTTTTTCCGTATTTTATTTATCGAATTATTTTTATCATTTTTTTTTTCTCGAAATTCCTTAACTGATACTTATAAAAAGATACACACAAAACGGTGTTCTTCATATGTTGGATCGCAATCGTCGAATCAAAGAAACGCCGCAAAGATTTCAAGATTTTGATGGAAAGTTTGACGTCGTTGTATCTGTTGAAGAGAGGGTTTACGACCAAATTATGGAAGGTTTGCCTCTTTCATTGTTTTGTTTTCGATTTTTTTAAACTTAAGTACGTGTACGGCCAATGTACCATTTTGACCCTTCGTGTTTGAACCTTACCAAACAAGATAAACCCACAAACTAATTACCAATTCCATATCCGTTCACTCGTTTCAGATTTTAACAACAGAGAGCAAGAGACAATGGAACCGGTTCACATCATTAATTTTGACGTTCAAGACAATCATGAAGAAGCAACAATAGGAGCCTTTGTCGTCTGTGAACTCGCGAAACTGGTTCGTACCGGTCGAAACCGGTGTTGTTTCATTGAAACATTTGCTGTATCAGTATCTAACCAAATGGAGTCAATACCTTCAGATAAAATTTCCATAAATATAAACTACTGTATTAGAACTGAGAGAGCACTCGATTCAAATTATATGAGAGGGTATATCAAATTTAGTCGCAGGTGGCCATTTCCCCATGCGTATGGTGCGAGAATAGGCAATACAATTTGTCATGATCACATGCCAACACAAAATAAAAAACACACAAAATTCAAAATACCTAAACATTACACATAACCACATAAATATACATTCACATTTGATGATCGACCACAACGAGTTTCTGTAATAGAATCTTAAATACGCATCTGAGAAAAATGCTCCATTATATTTTCAAGTAAAGTTATAGAACTGGCCAACACTGTCACAGCAAAAAATCTACCCTACATCCTCGTGAGCAACACACGAGTTGTATGTACGCCATACATCCGTTGAGGTAAGTCAGTCGTCTCTCATGAGTATACATGCAGTTTCTGGTATAAATCATATATATATTCTAATACTTATTGTTCGTTTACCACGGGGACTGCGTATTGCCTGGAATTTGCTCAAGGTGGGAATTTCATTACTGGACACCAGGTGGACTTGTGGATTGTTTTTTATGGGTATAGCGATGAGGCGCTGTTTTCTGAGATGTTTTGATAGCATAAATTAAACGAAAAAGTAAAATTCGATTGAACTCAAAAACGTGGATTGTTGCTGTTTGGGACGAGAACTGTTTCTGCTGCAGAGTCCAATATGACCAAAATGATTCAACCTAATGTCTCACATCAGAAAACAAAGTGGTGCTCAGAAGAGTGAGATTTGTAAAGTCTCTGATAATCGAGTTGTGTACGCTGATCTCCGGGCTTCTAAAGCCGATTGACTCAGGCGTGGTTTAGAAAAACACTTATTTTTTTCTGTATTTTCAGAAAATAACTAACCCGACATATAGAACATTCTGATGGCGAGATATACTCGTGTCTGTAGGATTCGTGTTTACTGTACAATAAATTATGAACAAAATTATAGAACGTGGCCAATATAATGACGAATTTCACTTTTAACGCGACCTATTAGCAAATCATTTATTACGATAACATTGCTTTGCGTATACGTTTATCATAATTAAGACGTCAATATTATGATTCATTTAGTTCTCATTTTGTCATCGAGGCCTAATTATCAGCAATACGTCATATTGCACGGCGGTGTGTTATTCAGAATAAGTTTCCTTTTTAAGTTTTGATATTTCACCAACCTCATCACATGGTTATACCCGTATTACGCTTGATCAAATATAATGTATTACCTTTCACTCCTGTCCAGCTGTTTCTGTCGTAACTTCGACTTGTATGTATATTATTGCGTCTTACTGGAAAATGTTATTATATTTTACCGTCGTTTGTCACAGTGCTGCTTTAATTAACGTCGATCGCCTAGCTCTAGCCAATTAGATTGTCTACTAAATTCGATGTAATATGAAACCAGAGACCTCAAGTTACTTATCGCTCACACCTATTTTGATCTGAACCATCAATAATATCATTGAACTGACGCAGACAGGTGCATTTGCGTTATAATTATAAAAATAAAACTTAAATGGGATTGATGTGATACTTTTTTTTTAATTTCATTGCTGTAAATCATATAACGAAGTTTCTTTTCGGCGCTAAATTGATAGATTTTTGCATTCTTCCGTATTAATTTGATATTTTACAATTGAATAATCAAACACACTTCACGCAACCAAAATATTATCATCGTTATTTCCATAAACACGGTTTTCATAATAAAAAAGCACCATTGGATACCATAACCATATAAAGCAATCTATATTGTCAGCTGATAATGAGCTAGACATAATATATGTCACCATCAACAGTAATTAAACCACATACCAAACCTATTTGATCGTTATATCCATTTCCGATAATATTTATCAAACGTAATATGGTTCAAACGGCAGCTAAGTGACGTCTACATTGAAATAATTGGGATCTGTAAGGACCCGATTCAGCACATCCTACACGATATTTTGAAATATGAGTGGGGCGCTGTAGGCACCAGATTGGATGAGACATCGGGCTTAACCCAATATAGTTAGGTTATTGTACTGTTGAGAATATTTGACGACTGTTGTTATCGGGATATTACCTAAACATAGTTTCGTTTTTGGAATACTATAAATTTATTAGTAATTTTGTATTTTTTTTTATATATCTCTAGTAATTCAAGTATCGGTAGCCAAAGCTCAGATAAATGAGTTTTTTTATTTTGTCGTAAGTCACGTAGAGATTTATAACCAACTCATTTCAAGTTTTATTTATATTTTAGATTGAAGCATCTGATGATATCGATAACGATATGGATGAATTATTACAAGAATTTGAAGAAAAAACGAATAGATGTATTATGCATTCAGTGCAGTTTTATTAACGAACGAAAACAGGACATTGGTATAAAGTGAACAAGTGCGAATTCAACCCTACGAACTGTGATTATTGATAAACTGGAAAAAATCAGCGAGGATATGAACACTTTCATTTTTATCAAATCTGGCACACTTACAGTTTTGTGAACTATGAGGAGCGGCAAAAGCGTTTTCCGTTTTTCATTATGACAAAAGGCCGGAATATCAAAAAATTCCGGTATGTTTTCTGATTATTTTTAATATTGTTTAACGGGTTTTGTTCTATTTTTGAATTGTATCAACTGCAGGGTCTACTGTTCTGTTGCTAATTATATTTAATTCACATTTCGGGTTATTTAAGACTCGAAAAATCTTGAACTTTTCGACTCGAAAGAGAAAGTCGAAATCTAAATTCATTGAAACACGGCAAAATCATTTGTTTATCTTTCATCGATGGGTATTGATTATCAAGTGTGAAATTCTGCCAATATAAAGATCGATAAAATTTACTAAACAATCTGCTCTAAATGATATAAAATTGGCATCCAATCGACCATTCATGTCGCTTATTTTCATAAATTAAATCCCTCTCCGTGTTTGTAAATATTGCCAATATTCTCTCGGTCAAACAAACGGCGCTCCAGAAATGTGTGTACCATTATGGATGTAACTAATTTTGTTTTCCTATTCTACATCAAGTTGTGTAAAGGGACTGAAATCTATGGGCAGGGGTATATCACTTGGCTAACATAGACAGTCCCCGATCTCGTAAACAAAACTACGACTTTATTCCAGTCAGAAGTACGGGAAAATTTGTGCTTCGTTGATCATACTCAACTGTACACACAAGAGACTTTTTTCGGCTGATTGTTTCATGTTGATCGCAGTATATTGTTCTCACCATAATAATACTCTTTTCTTGACTATTTTCTTTTCTTATGCTTTTTTTATAATATTCATTTGTATTTGTTGCACGCTAACTGCTTTATGGTGAATGCTTTATAAAATAATAAAGGACAATACAGAAAATCTCTACAATAATATTTGTAACCTCAAGCCCAACTACTTTTGTCATGATATAACGAGTCGTGCAGATTATAGCCCTGCCAGAGACAACTTGCGGAATTTGTGCGGCTTTCAAAAAGTTTTTTTCCGTCGATCTTTTCACCTGTTTGTAGTTAGCCACTTCTCCCGAGCCAGCAATGGTGTTGCTCAGCTACAATCTTTTTTGTTTATTGTACAATTGTGACGTCATATCACAAGCACGAGACCCAGCCATATTGCCTTTAGTTTACTGAACATAGGCTGCAGGAATGTATATTTCTGGGACTCTAATTTGAAACAACAGTCCACACTTGATTCAATATTTTTATGTGTTTGTTCCACAATGTGGAAGAGGATGCAGAATAATTACAACTTGAACTCATCTGTAGGCAAACACGGATTTGAGGTACTCGTTCCTGAGAGATAGCAAACGTCCACAAAAATTACGTGTTGAGGTTGAGTTTCCGTTTCTAAGGCAGATGACACGTGCATGTTGCGTCGGCAATAATTACAACCTATTTGTGTGAGGCTTTCTTCTCAATAGTGAAATTGAATAAATAAATAGAAGCAGGCTCAAAACGAAAATATGACTAACCAATCACCTAACGCGGAATAAAGGTGTCGGTCGTATTGAAAAGTTGGGAAATTATATATAAAAAACAGATTTGGTACAAGCCCGAGAAATAATCTTTTATGGTGTTTATATCTTATTTCTGCTTGAAATTATTATTCAGTTATTCACATTCGTGATATTTGACAAAAATAAAACTGTAATTCATGGCGAGTGTCATGTTATTTAATGTGCAGATAATCTTACACTATCAAATGACGCCTTGACTTTTGCTTATTAGCACTGGCGAGATCGATCATCTGTTTTGATACTTTTAAATCCTTAATTATTAAAATTGATTTTTTCCGGAATTTTAATTGTAGCCGTGGGCTGTTTTGTCATTTCATTTGATGGCTGTTAGGGGAATCGATATTCTCATCACAGTCTCTGATAGAAACTGACTTCAGTTTCGACTTACCCTGTCTATGGTTTCGTTTACTTTCATTATCATATTATCTTGACGTAGCGTTGACAGTCTCGCGGGGACCCACTTTAGACGTACCGGGCAGCCTCCAATTAGTAAGACTATATGGAAAGAATATTTATTTAGAGTGAAGTCGCATTACCTGTTACTTTACTCCATGTATAATTGGTGAGGTGGTTAAGCTGCTCTTTGTATACAAATATTTCAACCGCAAGACAGTTAAAAGCTTTTGGATATCAAATGTTTCAAGAAAGCCCTGGTAAATCATCTGAGATTGTATTCAAATGTGTTTCGTGGGCGACCAACCAAGCAGAACAGTTGGAAGTCACTCTACAGCCAAAATTAGACATCAGCATAATATACGGAAAAGCCCACACGGCGTTTATCATGACGGCATACCGTTCGCATTACGCAATACCAATAATACTCTGCCAATAGCTATGACACCACACGTTATTAAAAATTGATCTCACAATCACGCCGCAACTTCTAAACCAACCATTGGCTTGGCTGTTTGGTTGCGTTTGTGTGTAGAGTAAGCGCCATGGTTGTATCTGTCTAGTGCCCGCGGTCCGGCAGTCAGTGAGAAATGGAATAAAGTCACGTCAGCCCTGTGCGAGCTGACATTGTAAAATAGCTAATTGTCTGTCCGCGAATAGCGAGTAAATAGCAAATCTTTGAAAAAATTTAAAACTTTTCACTGTATTCTGATTAAATAGCTACGCACGGCCCTCTTCTGTTAATTATTAGTTACTTCGAATTGTCGAAAATATTGACATATCCGCCCCGAGTAGTTTCGAGGTAGCAGATGAAATGCAATCAGTAAAATTTTCGCGTGTATTGAGCGCCGGAAAGTAAAGTTCAGTAGTATTCAGTTAAGTCAAAAGTAAGGAAGACACGTTTAGTATATATAATACCATGCTGAATGTTTTTAGAATTAAAAAAAAGGGTATATAGAAGTGTGAAAGCCGAAATATTTCAGAACATTCAGAAGCCGAAAGGTTTTGAGTGCCAATTGTAGAATACGATTATTTCGCGCTGAAGTTATCTCGTCAATTTTTGTTATATATGTACATTTCATTTACTTTGAGAGTTTATATTGAGTTTAATATTTTTATGATCTTTTACGTACGTAGAAAGAATAAATTCTGCTAACGTTGTTGGCGCATGGCCGTATTATTGGAAGATGAAATAAGTTATTTCACAAAAATACTAGAACATCGATTGTTCTGTTACATGACGCAGTAAGGTTACATGGGCTAGTTTGTACCAATTTTTTGGCCTTTTCCGGTTATCGCGTCATTCACGTATCACGAAAGTAAACACTCAGTAGGCGGTATGCTTACGGTTATCTGACACATAAATAACAGCGCAATAGGCAACCTGTTTCGTATATACGACTGGTTGTTGTATTGGCAAGCAATATGTGTATCTATCAAGGCATTTTAATCTCAAAAAGACGAATACGAGTTTAAAACACGTACTCTTTAAGACACTTTATCTGTGTTTGATATTGCTTCTGTTTCGTATTGAAAGGGTAATATCGCCTTTGAAATTAGGTATTATTTCCTCCGATCAGGAAATAATTTGGCGCTCTAATTAGAAGTTGTTGCAGAGTACACGAAAAGATTGAAAATAGATAAGAGACATTCGCCGATAATAGCTTAACGTTGAAGTAAACAAATGGTTAATCTGTATTAGTTAGGAATTAGCGAGGCCGTGTATGTTTATTCGCACGGGACTATCCACATAACCGCTGTATAATTTAGGGCGCATGTAGGGATTTCGAATGAGCACATCAATCCTATGCGACTACAGTCACATTTGACAGTTTAAATGGAAAGCTCACAGTATTTGCGCTGTTTGTACGCATGCACGAACGTAAGTCGACGTAACTTCAATTTGTAAATGATAACAAACGAGTTACATATCGCGACAAGTAACTTGCCAGAGACGACTTTTACCGTCCGACTGTCCTTCGCCAACGACGATATTTTTCGAATTTCTCGATACTGTCTGATATTTGCTTCGCTTAAAACGTTTTCAAATTGGGAGAAAGTAGCGTGGGAGTGATTAGGTTCGAGAGTGAGCATATGTCGCATTCCGTATTTGCACATGTAAAATGGGTTGTAATCGGATCCGCTTGGGCAAAGATCATTTGGGCAAAGATCATTTTTGTCGATTTCAGGAAGGCGCACGTCGAGTAATACTGCTAGCATTGGGCAAGTAGGGGTTAGGATTGACATGTGCAAAATCGTTATTGCCCATTATAAGTACTTGGGGTACGGAACTACACGAGACCCCTAGCATTGTAGTTAGGTATATGCTTATTTTTCAATATTTCAGTAGTTATTTTAGTAGTACAGTATTTTGATGTTGAATATTTTTGACCAAATTTAATTAACTTTTTGTTAGGTTGTCTTATATTGGCTTTTGAACTACGAACTCTGTATAACTGTAAAATTTATAATTTTATTGTCGTAATAACTATACGCACAAAGGTCTGACGACATGGCTGATTCAGAATTATCCAATATTTTAAATCGTCGGAATAAAATAAATGAAGGTGAAGAGCCAGCACCTACAGAGAACGTAGTTGTGAAAGGTTATCAAACAAATGAAGGCGACAAATCGGAAGTTGATGCTGCGCTCCCCGAACTCGCCAATAAACTGAATAGGTATGTTTTGTTATTTACTGTACGACCTCATATATATCACTTATTTCTGTGAATATCTTGCCGTTTTGTCTAATTGTGTATCAAGTCAGCTACAGTTTGATAGTTTTCCGTTGAAGGGCGATACCCGATATGTTAATAGTATTGTAATTAATAACATCAAAAACTATGTTCCAAGTATGTTCTGCCACACCTTGAGCCATATAGTATGGTAGTTATCAATGTGCCATATGATACGGATACTATTGAACTTTATTCTTTTATTGTTACTGTATTATCAAAGTGCAATTTCTGCATGATATTTAGTAACACACTGCTATATCAGGAAATTGATGACTGTGGTGTTCTATTGACCGATTTCCTTTCAAGCTAAAATGTATTATATTAAAATTTGGTGGGCAATTTGGCTCTGAGGCAAGTAGGCCTGTCCAATTTGTATCTCAAATTTTGAATGGTGTACTAAATAGAAGAGGCAGTAGCAAATATGATGCAAATTTGCTTCCAAATTTACTTTCCTTCATTGTTTTTTTAGTATTTAGCAATGCTTAACTACTTTTTAAAATTTTGAATAATCATAAACTTGCACGTTATTCCACTTGAGTAATGTGATTAATAAGCTTTTTGAGTAGCCTAATTGATTCAACTGTGATAAGATTTCATATCAATCCTAAAAAAGCAAAACTTGATAAGACGAGTTAATAATATTATTGTAGTGTCTCACATATAGTCCATATTGGATTGTAATGAGAAAGTGTCCTGTTTTCGAAACTTATTCAGATATTCTCTTTAAACAGCCTTGATTCTTAATTCTGTAAAGTTTCCATTTTGTATTACTTGATTCTCATATGGTAAATACCATAAAAAGGTCTATTTGTTTGGATTTAATGGATGCGATAATGTCCAGTCTCTCTCAATTTTGACCATTTATATCCATGGAAACATTGTTTTGATGATCATCTGCAAATCTCTGTATCTTAAATCAGTGTCATCTAGATAAGGGGTGTGCAACAGGGCCCATGGGCCATAACCCGATCCACCAATCCATTTACTGTGGCCTTGTCAACACTCTGATATTTACCCACATATTTACCCACCAAGCATAAATCCTAATCTGACAGCTTATGTTCGAAAATTCGCTCACATGGGTAAAATAGGCATACATATTGTTCTTTGCTATTGTTGCTGCGTTGAATCTTCTATCTTTTTGCCATGTGTCTTCAATACTGCAAGGCTAAGCAACAGTCGCATCCTATTCTCTTGCCTTTCCCGAATTGAAATTACTAAATTTTTTGTGTGGCTCTGCTACACTTCTGGTTGGTTATTATGGCCCATCGACAAAATATTTTGCACATCCCTTATCTAGATGAATACTTTATTTTAAATATTGTGGTTATATTATTGAAGTAATCTAAGATATGATGTTCATTGGAATAGAAAATTAGGTAGTATATTTCAAATTATTACATCCTCAGAGTGAATTTTTTTTTTAGACAAGCAAATATTAACGATGGAATCGAATCAGGAGAGGTGCCTTCTATGAAAGTCTGTAATGTATATACTGAATTCAAGGAATTCACAAGAAAACAAATCAAAGAATACGAAAAAATGTTCAAAAAGTAAAAAATGTTATAGATTGGTCATATAAGTTTAGTGTTTAGATTTTATTAATTGCTAAATTATGACAATCATAGAAAACTCGTTTTAGAGAATAACATGTCATATATTCTTGAAAAAGACTTCTTGATCACTGTTGAACTTGGATAACCGAGCCAAATTGTGCTTAATTTTCACATACCGGTAGTTTCAATCAAGTCATTTTAAATAAACATTGATTTGTTACATCAATTCTCTCTTAAAAATCTGCAAGTTAAAATATATTTGAAATTCCATATTTTTAAATTATATTTTGTAAAGTAGGCTAATATCCAAATTTTGATATTGATTTGGAGATCCCTAACCAGAATTCAAATGTAAAGGCAATTTTGGTTGATGGGGTTTTACGAATTGAATAGCAAAATTATTCATAATTTTTACCTAGGTAAATTTTGTAGCTATTCATTTTTTGCAAGAAGATATTTTGAATTCCGTGGAGATTAGTTATTTAATCTCAATTACTGTAAAACGATTGAAAAAAATTATTACTGTAAAATGACTTGCAATTTATAATTTGAATAAATTTCAATATTCTCCAATAGGTATGACACTGGCAGAGATGGTTTTATTGATTTGATGGAATTAAAATACATGATGGAAAAACTCGATGCTCCCCAAACTCATTTAGGATTAAAAGCAATGATAAAAGAAGTTGATGAAGATTATGACAGTAAAATGAGTTTTCGAGAGGTGAGGGATAGAAAAAGATTAATTTTTGTGTTTTTTCATATTTGTTGTGATTGTGTACAACTATCCCTTATTTAGTCTAAACATGTAAGAATCAAATTTGATTTATATTCAAAATAAATAAAGGTATTCAAAAATGCTATTTAAAATAATTTGTTTGTTATGTTCATAGGAAAACCTTTTTTACTATAAAATTTATTATTCATCTTGATTTTGCTGTAAAAAAATTCCACTAAGACTATTATTCATAGGTAAAATAATTCTGGAATACTGAGCTATCCAGGTATTTGGATTTTTATTGTTTCACACCTCCACCCTTCCTTTTCCTGTTCTTTCTAAAAGCTTGAGCTGTCTCAGGGATGGGGAAAGCTTAATCATATAGGCTATAGCAAATTACAGCCTCACATTAGTCATCGTTGTTAAATTCTACACATAAGGAGAGAATTTAGTATTTAATACAATTTTATGTACAATTAGTATGTAAAACAATTCTCTGAAATTCATTTAAATGATCTTTTCAAAAATGGATGCTTGTGAATTGTGATAAAAGCTTTCATTTACAAATGCATGCAATCTGGAGGCTATGTGAAAAACTCGTTATGAATATTAATGTTTGTTACATGAATAATAAATGCAGGAATGGGTTAAAGCAAGTGTCAAGCTTTGCAGTTTGTCGCAAAGTTGAGTGAGATATGTCAGACTATGATGATCTTATATAATGGCTCAATTGTAAGAATATTGATATAAAAATATTCCAGGAAGGTAGAGAGGATCATTGGAATGAAAATGTTAGTGATTTGCATACCTAAGGCCACAGATTGCTCATGAGATATATAAATTAGCTCTGATCTGAATAACGGATTTGAACTAATCATCTGGTCCATTTTGTGTTTATATTTCAAATTAAAAAACACACTGTAATTGTGCGATAAAAGAGGACTTTCCTAAGAAATACAATTTTTTTCAGTTTCTTCTCATATTCCGTAAAGCATCTAACAATGAGTTACAAATTGATGGACTGAAGAGTATTGCTGACTGTGATGAGATAAACGTGTCAGAGGAAGGAGTCGGAGGTGCCAAGAATTTTTTTGAAGCAAAGGTGAGTTATTATGTACGGTACTATCTGATCCAACCACCCCATCTTGACTGCAACAAATGTGCCATGTCAAATTCTGGTTATTCCCAATGCAGTCAATTCTACAAAAACATAATGTGCCACACATCACATAATTAACTACAAACTACAGCCAGCGGGCCAATTCAACCTTGGCCCCCTGATGCTGCCACGACCAAACTAAAACCAAATTTTGATGTTACCGCTAATAATAATAGCTCAAGGAATTTGTTGAGATTGCGATTAAATTTTATTTTGGCACGAGGCTTATCGTTTCCAATTTTTCTGTTATAACACTGCAAAATATTGTTCATGAAATGTAAAATAAAACTTTTTTATGTCACACTTACAAGGCCCGCCAGTCTAGGTGGGCAAAATTTTTAAAGAAGCTGAGTAGCTCTAATGGAAGCATATGAATATATCTGATATTTTCTGAAAGGATAATATGTTATTCTCATTTATCATTTTGATACTATCTTGTTCAAGCATCCGTGTGTCAACTGTGCTACATGCGGGTCTGAGGCGGCAAGTAAACAAAATGTACAATTCAATACAACATATCACAGTATCCCTTGTATCAAAAATTATTTTGTCAACATTTTCATCCTCCAGGTTCAGCAATTATCTCAATCAAACAAATTTGAAGAAGAAATTAAGAAAGAGCAAGAGGAAAGGAGGCAGGAGGCAGAACTGAAGAAAGTACGGAGAGCTGAGTTCAAGGCAAAGGCTAGCGTCTTCCAGTAGTTTCTATCTACTGAAATGTAATAGAAAAATAGAGAGATCCAAAATATATCAACTCTTCAACAGAAATAAATGCAGGGGATAAACTTTTAGGTTGATATATACAACCAATGCTTCTTTTTATTTACTTATAAAACACTTCTTAAATGTATAGTGATCCTTATATTCGAAAACTTCCTAGTGCTAGATGTATAATTTAAACACAGTTACCTATCAGTCGTCAATTAGCATTTTCGTTAATTTATCAAATTCGTATGTTTCGGAAAATATTGAAATCAAAATTTGAAATGTCGAGTTGCTCCAGTTTCACATATAAACTCTGTAACAATGTATTACTTGATCATTATCACCCCATGCAAACCCAACTATCATTTTCCTTTTTAATCTAATTTCTGAATCACAGGCTACTGTTGAAATTTAATTAGACATTTCTTTTTTTTGGTCTTTATAAATTTTCATTTGCAGCCATTATTTGAAATGCTAAAATTTAAGGAAAATGCAAGCTTTACTGTTTGAAAAGTTAGTATTTTGTCATATGATTCATTTGTTTTAAGACTCAAATATTTTCCCAATTTTAGCAAAGATTTGTTGGAGTAGCTTTTCTCTAGTTTTTAGTGTTTGTAAATAGACATGCCTTTTTCATGTTTCTTACTTCTTATTATGCATACGGTTTTAATCGAGAAGTGGTATTATAATATTGATATTATATTTGTTTAGTATTGGAATTCCGCCAGGTCTTATCAAGTGTTTTTATTTTAATGGTATTGTAGCTAGCTTTTTATGGATAATTTTATGTGTATATCAGCAAGTAATTTATTTTCTTTTTTCAGACATGTGTTTTACACATGTTTGATTCGCAGCCTCAATGCATATCAGGCTTTGGGAATTTTCTATATGTGAAGTATGTATGTTTTTGGTGTAACTAATTTTTGGTAGAAAATTGATTTTGCATAAATAGTAGGAATTATCTCTGAAGCAAGCCGAATGTTTGTGCTATTTTGTGTAATGTTGTCCTTTAGTATTGTACATAACACACCAAAGAAAATTTCAGTTAGTTTTGTTTACCTTTGTTTAAGTAACAAATTTGATTCCGCTGTCAACCGATCGATAGTGTGCCTATTTTTCAGTGATTTGCATTAACTGCCCTATTTAATGTTTGTTATGTTCTTTTTATAATTTTGTTTTGTCTCATAATCATATGTGTTAGTATATATATTTTGCTGCTTGTTTTGACACCGAATATCCAAAGCTAATAAAGTTATATCAAATACGTGAGTAGCCAATTTTCGCGGAAGCATCTCTAGTCGAGCATAATGGACGATCAAGCGGATTTGGTGATATTACTATAACTATAAAACTTTAGACAAACGTTTGCAGCTTGGATTCGGAGACGGGGGTATTTTATTTAAGATTCGGAGGTAATTTTGCAAGCAAATAATTCAGATTTAATTCCTATACATATATGTTTCGCGTGATTATATGTGGCCGTTGAACCAGGCAGTATATTCCGACGCTCTTCCGCGCTTGCTGAATCGTGACGTAACGTACTTTGCTGGAATTTATAGAATCCGTGCCCCGGGGCAATCTACAACGCAACGGTAGCAGTACCAGCTATTATACATCGGTAATGGTTGGTCCACTTTTGCTTGCAATGTCTTTAACTTTTTGGTAGTTTATAACTGCTAGTGGAAAAATAAGTGCGTTGACTAATACCTATATTTTCATCAAATTGTACATAGCAAGTACCGGTAAGTCTTTTGATTGTTAGATATTATGTGGATACACGGACTGGCGGACGTTTTCATCTAAGCTCAGAATGATCCCAAGCGCAGCTTTCACGTACTATATTATCTTTTATATTTATCCTGACAGTATTAGTTCATGAGCTTGTCTTAATGACAACTTAAATGTTACGGAAACACAGAATTCTTATTGTTTTACCTGTTGGACTGATTTTCATCTCACTATATGACCTAAGAGCATGCATACAAACGGGATCTTCGGTGTTTAATCAGGTTGTTGGTCTGGTAAGTGATTTATTTTTAAAGGCAGTTTACTAAGCAAATATCAAGTTCCATATGTATTTGGTAGATTATTTAACGCCTGAAGTCATTCCTTCTATGCATCATATTAATCGGATATGACGAAGAATAGCGCTAGATTCTAAAAACCTTTGCTATTGATTACGACCGCGTCCTAAGTTCTCTTCTTGTAGCATTTTGATAGTACAGAAACTGAATTTGGATTTGTTTTTCAAACTTGTATTGTTGAAAATATTTTGGGCATATCAATCAATCAATTTTATTTTGGTCGCTCTGGTATAAAAACAAAACAACACTTTTTTCTATGTTTGTTTACTTTCAGCAAATTATAACGTTACATTCTATGCTGTTCGATTTAAACGCCAATGATTTAGAATTTTCAAATCACTAATCTGAGTCGCGTGTCGTATGCCTGGTTACATACCGGGTATTTATAACTCGTTAATTCTGCATTGCAGCGAAACTAGTTTGAGCTATTAATTACAATCCTCATTCAATTATTTATTCCATAAGTATCCTCGCAGTTTGCAGTAAATTAAAAAACGCTGAGAACAGAGAGATCGTATTACTTTTAATCCCCACATTCAAAATTGTTTTACCAACAGAAAACAAGAATAATATTTGAAAATGAAAATTCCTCCAAAGAAAATATTGCGACAAAAGCTTCGTGCTACAAGACGGGTGAATTCAATACCTTCTATATTTGCAACGATTCACTACCTTTCAGCAGTACAGCTTGCGGAAAATCAGAACAAGGTATATATATTTTAAACGATTTTTGTGTTGTTGTGTTGTTTTTATATGGACCACAGCGGTCTGGAGTAATAAACGAATTGAATTAATAGACATGAAGACCAAAAGGAAGTAGTACAGGTAATCTTTCACAGCAGACTACCAGTACCGACCGCAGTCTTCTCCTGACCACCAGATAGCAGCAAACGCGCAACGCGGTGGGCAATTTTGACGATGTCATCGCGCACAAAAAAACGAATCCCATAGAGCGCACAGAAATTTTTGAGATAAATAAAAGTAATAGCCTTCGAGCAACAAATACAAGTCCAGTAATCAAAGTGAAAAGAAGAAAAAAGAATGCCTGCGAAAAGTACAACAACAACATAATAGCAAAAAGTTTCGTAGGTTCACTTCCTACCCAAAACAACATAATAACAAAACGATCCATAGGTCAACATTGTGTCCTATAATAAATTATATTTGCTTCATCATCATTCTTCATGATTTTAGAATTTGACTATTTGAGAGGAGTGACAAATTCGATTTTAAGCGATTTTAAATTTCACCTTCAGATGCCCTCGAATATAAAGTTCCAAACATAGTTCATTACGTTTGGTTTGGTGAAATGAATCTCAAGTATTATCATTATCTCTCAGTGCGATCTGCTGCAGCAAATCAAGTAAGTGTATTATATATATTTTTTGGTATTTTATGCTTTTCTATATTACCATTTCCAGTACAGAGAGGGATTTCAAAACGTATTCGAATTTGCAATGGAATTGTGTAATACCAAAATGTCTGAGTGTGTTAACTCGGGAACGGTAATTCCAACTATTCCTGGAACATAGAAATATTAATTTATGGATATCAATAGGGGCAAAATACAATATCGGTGAAATCGCGATCAAAGTATTTTTAGGATTAGAAGCAGTAATTTAAAAGTATGCATTTTAATGTATGTTTTTTCAATTACAATTATTTTCGAATGCAAGATCGCATAGATGTTTAGAGATTTCAAAATTTGGCTTCATTTATCACCTTCATAACTTAGAATAGAGGTGTAAAAACTGTGACCTGCGGGCCAAATGCGGCCCACGAAGAAATATTGTGCGGCTCGCGGAGAAGTGCCAATTTGAATGGTGTGCTGGCCGCGAAACGAGTTTTTAATTTAGTTTAATCTGGTACGTACGAGTAATTCGAATCTCTGTGCATTGCAAGGCCTAGTCCAATAACTAGTTAGTTCTATGACGTCAAAATGCCCCAAAAGCCCGCTTATGCAAAGTGAACAACGCATGTCAAAAGATCAATAACCAAATTTTTTTACTTGAAACCACTAGCCCCTCAAAACCATATGGTAATTAAATCAAGGTGCCGCCCGCGGTTTCACCCGGTTATTTGTATGTGGCCCCCCTCTATTAAGGGTTGTACACCCCTAACTTAGAATGTGGAAAATAGTATTCATGTTTTTATTTTATGGAATAACCAACATGACTTTTGCAAATTAATATTTAGCATCCAGATGCTATTATGTTTCATATCAACGGTTCCAAGCCAGGAGGAGAATATTGGGAAAAAGTAGAAAAAGAAATTCCTTGCATTACTTTGGTCAAAATGGAAGCACCCACGTCGATTCATAACAAAGAAATATCAGACGTATTGCACCAAACCGATGTTGCCAGGTAGAACCATCATCTGTGAAATTAAATTTGCTACAAATTACTCTATCTAATACAATTACATTCCGTATAACTTCCTTAAACATTCAAGGTTTCTGCCCCGTAAACAAGCCCTATTTATAGGGCTGGGAATTTTAGGGAAAGCACTTTGACCGTTAACCGGGTAAAATTAACCGGTTAACCACCGCGTGACGTTTGACGTAATAATTATAATTTCGGCTTGTTACGTCACAATGGTTATAAAACAATTTCGCGTGTTCTTATCCCGGTATCGCTGAAAATTATTCACGAATCGAGATAGTTTCATGATTCATCCATCTGCTGCGAAAGATAGGCAGCGTGGTTCGGGCATGTAGAAATATTTTAAAAAACCCGATTCCGTTGTTAAACGTCATTTATGTGACAAATTTTGAGTGTTCCATGTGCAAGTTCTACTTCGAGAATCGAGATATATATCATAAAGAAAAACGGCATCAACTGCACACTTGTTGTATGACATTGAATATCCGATTTTGCAATGAAATCGTGAACAATATATTTCGAAATCGACCGAAAACTGATTCTGAATTCATCATTGTAAATTTTTATTATCAGTTACCTTGGTGCTTCCATTATTTTTCACATTTATTGATTCCTTACCCACACAGTTAGTAATATTTTTTTTGAATTAAACGCCGCAAGAGATAAATTTGCGATGACGTAATCATATTTGACGAAATTATACGGTATAAAGATGATAAGGAACCTGAGATGTCTGTTAACGGTTTAAATAAATCATAACCGTTAATCATATGAAATCGGTTAACCGGTTAACCATTCTCAGACTTACCTATTTGTGAATATTTTTAGGTAGTAGCGCATAGTAGATCAGAATCAAAATATGTAAGAGCAAGTTTTGCCATGTAGTTTTTGATTGAGTGAGATTGAACTCAGGAAACCTGGTTCGCTACAACATGTTGACTTGAGAAAAAAATGGAGACAAAAGTTTATCACTAAAATTTGGAAATTTCTACACTGCGTACATTCAATTTTTCCATTACTTACTACAATGACCATTTAATTTTCAGAATGCAGATTTTGCTCAAATACGGAGGTATTTACCTAGACTCTGACGTCATAATTTTAAAGTCTATGAACCCGTTAAGGAAATATCCTTTCACTATCGGGCGATCAACAGAGTATTCTCTCAGTAAGTAACTTTTGTCGGGTATAGGATGTTACATGTTAATATAAGAGATAATATATATAAGAGTTTTTCATCGACAATAATTTACCGCTTTGCATCGCTAAATGTCTAAAAGAGAGTGATGCTCGAATATATGGACACGAAGACCAAAGCGATGCAGTAGTCTACCTCACCTTTACAGGACCGGTACCGTCAAAAAACCGAGAGAGGTTGACGAACAGCTACAAATAATTTGTATTAATATCCAAGGGGTCATCGCACAAAATTTCGAAGTAAAAAACGAATCACATGCAGCCCACGGGAAGTTTTGAAATAAATAAAAGTACAGTAATACCCTTCTAGCGAAAAATACAATCTTTAAACACTGGAAATTGCAAAGCAATTGACCCATTAATTAATGAGAGAAGTGATTTTTTTCATAACAACAAAAAGGAAAAATACCAACAAGAACAATAATAACAAAATGATCCATAGGTCCATTTCGTGTCCAATAATAACTTTACAAGCTCTTGCTTGTATAAAAACACAATCAAATAGTTCTATGAGATATTATATAATCTTCTGAAATAGATTTAACATATCTGTAACAATATGTATGCATGTTTATTCTTTGAGTCAACTTAATTCTCATACTTTCAGGTAACGGAGTCATGTTATCGGAACCTGATTCATCATTTATTAAAGAATGGATGAGTTATTTCAATAAATACGACCAAGTGAGTACTGTAACTTCATCGAATTGCTTCGCGTGCTTCATCAATACTGATTATTGATATATATATATACCAGAGAATTAATGAAGAGAGTTGAAGCTGGCATTAGAATCAGAGCCTTTGGTTTCCAATATAAATACATGTGTATTACAAAAATGGTACTCCCGTAGTGTGTGTACCAGGTCAGGTTAGGGTTAGGCTATAATTTTATTCCGATTTCCCTTATTTTAGTTCTATTATGAGTTCGGGAAATGTTTGTGTTAGTCAAGTGAATATACCCCTTGCCCATAGGCTTCAGTCTCTTCACACAACTTGATGTAAAGTAGA